GCCCCTCCTCCCATGTGTCGATGGTGAGAACCATCACCTACACCCAGGTCCCCAAGATGGGCCCAGATTGGCCTCCTGGAAGCACATAACCAGTCTGAAGTCAGAGTTCTGTGCCCTTAACCGGATGTGCACCCCGCAGGAATAACCTGACTGTGCTCACAACCACCAGGCAGGACAGAACACAGGCCTTGCTTAGCCACAGGCACTAATGGGACAGCCCCAGCCTTCCTTCCCAGGGGGGCAATGAGTCCCCACCCCAGGCCCCCACCCAGTTCCACACCAGCTCGGAACTTCCTGTGTGCAGGTTAATGCCCAGTGTTAAGGGCTGCATCATTTCAGCTAAAAAGGTCTTCCTTTCCCCTCCTGAGCTCCAGCCCTAATCCAAGGGAATCCTGTGAGAAAAGGTTAATTTCCAGACTTGAGGCAGAAGCAGTATCCAGTGTCACGGATGTGCCAGATGAACTGTTTCACCTCCGTGAGGACTTGAAAGGGACCGGGAGAGTCCAGCATCCCGGTGCCTGTTACACGTTGTCAAGGCAACTGGCTCTGAGCTCTGGCAACAGAAAGCTCCCAGCCGCATTCTCAAGCGCTCCCGCTGGCCCCCAAGTTCTTTTTGTTTTAAGCTATTCTTTCAATTCTTTTAAAATAAAAAACATTTAACGATGTATGTATCTTTCTATTATGCTGGAGGCCCTGTTATTTCCTGTAGTTCAATCCTTTCTATCAGACATCTAGTCCTCTACATAAAGCACCAAGTTCTTGAGGGCCTTGAAGCAGTAATAATCCGTACTTTGCAAGCACACAGATCTCACTGGCTTTGAAAATGAACCCAGGCAGGAATGATGCAAAGAGCCTGTGTGGATTGGAAGAAAAGAGGCTGCTGCTCCTGAACCGTGACAATCACATGTGGGTGGGGAAGAGAAGCTGAAACAAAGACCCAAAGAATTGTGGTAAAGGTGCCCTAGGTAGGGAAAAAACCCTTAAAATGCAATGTGCAAACTGCTCTCCCAGGGTGCCCAGGCACTGTTCCCTGTGCCATGTGTGATGATGGAACTGTGATTATAAGAAAGTAAGCAACAGACAGAGTCTTTCTATTTTAGCGACCCGTACTGAGCCCATGACAGGAGAAATCATACCATGGAGAGAAAGTGAGAGAGAGAAAGGAACAAAGACTCCTGTGCCAACAGCAGGTGCCGTGGGCCCAGCGCGCCGCCCTCTGGGAGGTGTCGATGGGTTAGCTTGGGGGGCTCCGGGCCGCCCAGAGGCCTGGCCCACGAAAGGCAAGGCGGGCTTGCCGCCCTGGCCGTCCGCTACCCACTGTTCTCCCCCACGTGCAGGAAGAGCATGAGGTCCATTTCGAGCTCGTGTCAGGGAATAAGTGTCTGTCTAAGAGTCCTGCCTGGTCCCACCCCGCCTCGAAACAGGCAAAGTCGTCGGCCTTCCTGCTGGGCGGATGTGTACGAGGACTGAACAGAGAGACGCCAGGAACCACACAGGAGAATTGACAGGCCTGTGAAAATGATGGCAAATAAAAACACAAGGTCTCTGCAAAAAAGACTCATAAAATAGCCAAATCTTGAATATGCCCTGAGGGAAAGCAAGGAAAGTTGAGTTCATTCACCTCCGGTTATACCCAGGACTGGACTACGTCCTCTCCGCTCTGATTTAATTTTCCAATGGAGCACAGGGTTTGAGGATGCCTGGCAAATGCCACAGACACACAAGGAAGGCTCCTCTGCAGAGTCCAGAGGGTCTCTGGCGTTGAATCCTATCTCGCTTGGAGGGTTTTTCTTCCTCTACTTGTGCCATTATGAAAGGAACTCCTAGGTACTGCCCCCAAAACAGTTACAAAGATGATTCCTGAGGAAAACCAGGCCTCAGGGCATAATTCAGTCAAGACTACAGACACCAGGCAGCCCCAGAGCCTGGGGCAGAAAGTAGAGCCCGAAGTCGCACTCGGTTCCATGGCCCTTGGGGGAACAGAAAGTGTCCCGTCATGAGGAACCTCAAGGGCTGCCTCCAGCTAGTTCCTCAGCACCTGGGAGTTCGGACTGGTGTGCAGTGTGGCCTCAGGCTGCGAGGGGCCTGTGTGGGGCCCAGCGTGGCCCTGTAAGAGTGGGCCCGGTGAGCACTTTGGTCCAGGGGTAGCCCGGGTTCTCCTCTTCCCGTCTCTCCCCCATCGTCACTGGCCATGAGGCAGGTAGCTCCGCTCTGCCACACATACACCATGCTCCATGCGCTGCCTCCGGGGGGCCGGAAGCACCAGGCCAATGAGTCATGAGGAGAACCCCAAACTGTGAGTCCAGGTAAACCTTTCTCTCCCTATGCGGCTCATCTCGGAGTCTGCCGCGGTACTGGAAAGCTGACGCACACAGACGCAGTCCATGCCTTCCCAGAACCCTGTGCTTATTCCAGAAAGACGCCCCCCCCCCATTACAGGCTGGAATATATTTCCTCTTTACTCTCCCTGAGTAAACGCTCAGCCAGGCACATTCAGCTTTCTTTTTTTGGGATGGGTACCAGGGATTGAACTCAGGATCTTGTGCTTGCAAAGAAGGCAGCAGCCCCATTGAGCTAAACCCCTGGCCCACATTCAGCTTTTACTTTGTTCCTTTCCCTCTCCTCAGTATGCTACAGGCCACTTTGGGGACCAATGTGTGAAACAGTGAAACCAGAGCTTGGCACTGTGGCGCACAGTTCTAATCCCAGCACTCAGGTGGCAGAGGCAGGAGGATCACCACAAATTCAAGGCCAGCCTGGGCTATAGGTTGAGACCTTGTCTCAAACACCCAACCACTACAAAAAAAAAGTGAAACCAGTGCTGTGTCAAGGTCCCCTGTGGCTGTCCTGACGACTCAGGGGAGGTATGTGACTTCCAGAAACATCCACCAGGGCTCCGTGTGAGGCAGATGGGAAGGCGGCCGGGGAGCTGGAACACCCGGCTCAGGCAGGAGGAGGTGCCAGGACCCTGGCTTCAGGTTGGCTCTGTGGGGGAGGAAGATGCCATTTCTGAGCCAGCTTCATTTTAAATACTCTTTTCATTGTCAGCCAGCCATGTGCTGATTACCTAGTTTTTACAAGACTTCAGGAATATTGTTTGCAAAAGGCACTGCTTTGTTTCGTCAATGAAATAAGCCATTCTTGTACCTCCTCCTTTGGCTGCCTGGCAGGCACCAGACTGTAACAGCCCCATGAGAAAATGCTCCTGGATTTAGGGCAAAAGCAGGTACTAAACTTGTTTCTACTGCTCCATTACAGTGCTCCACAGACTGTAAAGGTGGGGAGGAGGCCTGAGAGAGCCGTATGGGTACTGGAAACCACAGAGGGGCCAGGGACGGGCCAGGGCGGTGGGGACTTTCAGCAGAAGAGACCAGACAGAACCACACAGAACAAAAGCCCCACCCGCCACAGAGTCCCTGCCCCTCTTAGAAACAGGCCAGTCCTGAGAAACTCGGGCTCGGTACCCCGACACGACAGGGCAAGGGCGAGGGGAGGGGGCTGTGGCGGGGGAAAGCCAGTCTCGGCACACATCCATCAGTGTCCGTCAGGGTGCACCTGTGACGCTGTGATGCCGTAATCACACCTGCACAGAGGTCAGGCCAGAGACAAAGGAGCGCAAGGTGAGGCCACCAAACCCAGAGTGTGAACAGAGAGACAGGCTTCAAAAGTCATGAAAGAGTCATAAAAAGGGAAACTACACAGCCTTAAAATCACCTTTTCAAAGGACGTTTACTAAGACGGGAAAATATTCAGGAATACTAAGAAATGAGTAAGATTTTAAAGATATGTAGGTATAGCTCAGCAGTACTTAACAAGCTTGTACAAAGCCCTAGTTTAATCCCCAAAACCGAGATAAAATAAATATTTACTTTTATAAAAGCAAAGCACATAGAAGTTTTTCATTCCAGGATAAAAGACTGTAAGGAACCATACCAGGAGATTAAATTAGCCATCTGACCACCTTTTAAAAATCTTTTTCTGTATTTTCTAATCTGCTGTGACAATCAGGAAAACAATTCAGCAGCTTCTGAGGCACCTGGGGCTGCCTTTCTTGTCCAGGACTGGGCCTCCACCACTCGCCACTCAGGGGACCAGCGAGCCCGCCTCTGTCCTCAGGGACCCCCTGGTCCCCATCCAGTGTGCACCCCTGCTGCATCCTCCGTGACCCACGCCCTGCTGGCCCCTCCTGACCACGTGACGCGGGCACCAGGACTGCCCCACCTCTGCCTCGTATGGCGCATGACGGCCCGTCAGTGGCTCACTGTCAGGGCTGGGCTCAGCCTCAGAGGTTACAGAAAGCAGGAGGCCTGTCCAGGGCTTGGCGTTGGCCCTTTTCCTCTGCACTCATTAGATCCCAGTCATTCAAGGACGGTGGGTGCAGGGGAGAGAAAGCTCAACGTGTCCGCCTGGGGCGTCTCCGGAGTGCAGCAGTGACGCCCGGGGACTCCGGGGAGTGAGTGCATGCCGGGGGAGGGGCACGGGGTGGGCACTCGGCCAGTGACCTGCGGGGTCCCTTCAGGGTCACTATGACACCCCGGCCTCCTGGGAGCCCCCCTGGTCCGGCATTCTCCACTAGCTTTGATGCCCACAGGTGCCTTACACACCCAAAGGTCATACGTGACAGAATCTCTGGGTTCTCAGGAGTCTTCATTGCAAACGTGGAAGAAAATATAAATAAGCGGCCGGTCACCTTCCCACACCAGCACCTACAGGTCTGTGGGTGGACAGTTACCCTCCTGGATGCAGATTCCACTTGTCTTTTCAAACTACTGCTCAGAGCAAGAGAAACCCTGCACAGAGCCCTTGCCACACATAAATGACAGCTGCTCGTGAAGTTCACTAAGAAGGCAACTCTCGCACTTGATTCCACAGAAAATGTGCACGCAGGATGCTTCTGTATTTGGGGAGTGTGAGCCCTTCCCACTCTCCCTTCTCCCGACCGGAGCTGAGGGGCAGCGCCCCACGCAGCGCCGTGGCCTCCCGGGAAGAGGCGGACTTACCCTATCCCAGCTGAAGCACAGGCCCAGGCGGTCAAGCTGGCTCCGCATGTGCTCGATGTTACTGTGGGGCAGAGGAAGGCAGACGAGTCGGTTCTGGAGAGCAGGGTGAAAGCTACAAGCAGGCTACACTTTGAGAGTGTGGAGAGAAACTGGAAAAGGCTAGACTATTCAAAGGGACTTTATGCGTTGTTTTGCCCCAGCAGAAAGATTTGTATCGCTAAGAGTCCCTGAAAATACCAATATACTGGAAGATGCCCACTACTTGGACACAAGCACAAGCCACTGGAAACCAGAGTCGTCTTGGCCCTGCGAACGGGTCCTCCTCCTGGCTCCACAGAAAGACAGCCCCTTGGATACTCCTGGCCCATCCTTACGTCTGCATCTGTACAGGTCTGAGCCAATCAATTACAATTTGAAGTGAAGACAACAGAAGCTCTAATGTACAAATTGTAGGAATTTAAACTGGGCTGGGGGTGAGGCTTTGGGGGTACCAGGCCCGAGGCTGGGTCCCGAGCACCACAAACAAAGAAATGAAACAAAGACATACAGTGCTTTGTCGATCAAAATCTAAAACCCAAAACTGTCCAACATTTGGGCCGCAGGGAGATAAGCAAGTTAATCAATGTAGAATATAATATGGAGGGCCAGGGATTTAGCTCAGTGGTTCTGCCTCCTGCCTCAAAAGCACAAGGTCCCGAGTTCGACCCTGGTAACCCCCTAAAAAAGGAATAAGGAAATAAATAATTTTTAAAAGAACTCATTCACTTCTATGCCACCTTAAGTTCCATCCAACACACTGAAAACACAAAGAGCCCTCCACATGACCTCTGACTGGCTGGTGACAATTTAATTCCAGGCCTCGAGCAGAAAAGGGCTGCACCTTTGTTCAGTCTCACGAGGTAGCAACTATGTCTATCTATCGCTCAGGTAAGTGAATCAAGGCACAGAGGGGTGAAGTGATTTACTCAAGGGACCAGCCAGCAGGAAGGAGAGGCTGAAGGGACCCAGGCAGCCCGGCCCGGCTGGAAAAGGGCCGGGCAATGAGCAGTGGGAGCTGCGCCACAGTCTCAGTTACAACTACTCAGCTCTGCCACCAGGGAAGATGCACTAATGAATGCAAAGTTAAATTGACAAAAACAAGCAGGATGGACCTGCCCACAGGCCACAGTGTGCTGGCCTCTGGTTCGGCACATTTCAAACGCAGGCCACATTTGATGAGCTGTCGGTTGAGGTTTCTTCCCTTCCGTTAACCTAGAACTAACTATAACTGGGGATTAAGAGGAAAAAGGGAAATAGGAATAGTGCAAGGGCAGCAGGGCATGTGTCCTGGGCAAAAGAGAGAAGGGAGGTGAAGGCTCTGAGACAGGCTGCAAGCCACCCAGCATCACGAGCCACACCCAGCGTGGTGGCCTCCTCCTCACTGCCCACGGAGGAGCCCCTGGCTCGTGAGAAATAAAGACGAGGAGTTACAAGTCAGAGAAACCTTCAGTAGTGTTCAGATACAGGTCAAACTAAAGTCTAGAGGACAAGAAGCATCACAGAAACACTGAATGCAATTTTTTCCTCCTTTTTCCCTCCTAAATGCAAATGCACAAAGGAAGAACTTGGTAAACTATTGTTTAGCATCCAAATGAATGTGTGAGGTGTAAACACCAGCTGCCTCCGATCTTTATTAGATAAAAGGCAAACACCTACTTATCTCTGCTAGGCTGTGGGGTTTGGCTCGGCTTTCTACCTCTCTGTATAGGCGAAAATGAACTTCAAGGTTTCGACAGGCAAGTGCTGCGTGTGTGTCTGTAAACACCTACCTCTGCGTCCAGCTCTGTGGGTGTAAGTTCCTCTCGATGGCGGCATTTTCGGCAGGTAACCCAAAGGCATCCCATCCCATGGGGTGGATGACCTGGCACAGAAAGAGAAACGCCAGCCATGGCAAATCACTACATCCACAAGCAGCTTCCCCGGGCGCACACGTTTTACCCTCCCTGGGAGGTCGACCCCAAGTCTGTCCAGGGCAGCCTGAGATGCCAGTGCTGAAGGAAATCTAGCAGGTTCCACACCAAAGTGCAGACAGCGGTCATCTCTGAGGAAGGGTTGTCACGGGAACATTTTCCTTTCTCTTTCTCATCTGTATTGTCTAGGGTGAACCCAAACTGCTTTCCTGCAATTATAAGATGTTCTTTCAGTTTCAAAAATCTGTCTGTGTAAGATGTGTAAGCTTTCAAAATGCTCCTCCTGGGTCAGAAGTCTCCAGTCACGGAGCTGTGCTGTCCAAGATGGCAGCCAGAAGTCACCCGCAGCCACACACACTTCAACTTAATGGCAACAAAATAAGATTAAAAATTCAGCTCTTCAGTCTCACTAGTCACTTTCCAAAAGTGTGATGGGCTTTCCAAAAGGGTCCCAGCCACATGGCGCAGGTATGGACCATTCCCATGGCAACAGGAAGGCTGCTGGACAAGGGTTGTGACCAAGGGCCACACGGTGGCTCCCAGCAGCCCTTGCTCTACGTTCACCCACAAAGGTCTGTCCAGTGGCCTGGGCCACTCTTCCTCATGAACTCACTGGAGCCCAGCACACAGGCCCACCTGGTGCCCAGCACCACACCTGCCCAAGTTCGCCCTGGACCCGAGCTAGGCTGTTCTTGCCAGGGCGGTCCATCAGCAGAGGGCAGCCACCTCCACGGTGGGCAGGAAGGGCCCAGTCTCCGATCACCTCGGGGAGGACATGGCCCTGCGCAGACTCTGCCACGCCAGGCGGGCACCTGAGCACTCGTTCACATCCACCAGCAGCACAGGGGCTCTGAGCTGCTGCTCCCACGGGCCTGGCCACCCCGTCTGAGTCTCATTCCCAGGCCTGGCATCGAGGGACCCCAGGTTTCCCTGAGATGGCTCCTGCATTCCTACCCCATCTGAGGTCAACTCAACAGACCCCTTTTCTACGTGATGATTTCCAAAAGGGAAACGCAGCCCCAACAGGGCTGAGCAGCAATGTGAGGCAGAGTGAACAGGTGGGACCGATTCTCACTGCTTTTCGCTGCCCCACCCTCACCTCCTGGACGTCACAACCCCAGCTTCCGTCTCTCTCCGTGCACGACACGTGAGCACGGTTACATGGGGAGACAGCTGATTTTGTTTGGTTGTTTTTTTGGTTTTTTTGAGACAGGGTCTCACTATGTAGTTGAGGCTGACCTGGATCTCACTATGTAGCCCAGGCTGGTCTCAAACTCACAGCGATCCTCCTGCCTCAGCCTCCCGAGTGCTGGGATTATAGGCGTGCACCACCGTGCCCCGCTGGGAGCCTGCTGACTTTGTAGAAACAGAACCCACTCCATCATGGACGCCCGTGTGGAACATGACAGCATGTGTGGCATGTTTCTTTAACCACTGCTCCTCCAGTCACCTGGTCCTGGTGTGTTCAATCTTACAGATGGGCCCTGGGTGCAGAGGGAGGCAGTGCCCGCCCTTCTCCAGGCTGAAGCCAGGCTGTATGCGGGGAGGGAGGGGACCCACTTTCCCCTTGGTCAGCTGGCTCTGCACGACCTCACAGTGATGTCTGAGGACCGAAACGGGTGCTGGAGGGAGGCAGGCCCTGAAGAGCTTTGGGGTCCAGGCCCAACCCGCCAGCCCAGCTCCGTCACTTCCTCGGATGCTGTGCACCAACCCAACTGGGAAACGCAAACAAAACCCCCTTTCCTCTTGAGCTGAGCTGAGCCGAGCCGAGCTGAGCTGAGTTTCAGTCCCTGGCAGACAGGAATCCTAACTAGAACAGACGCAGACGCTGTTTCAGATGCAGCTTTCTTTTGACACATTCTCCTGTGTTCACTGTCAAACTTTGCAATTCTTTTTCCCTTTTCTTTTTCAAGAGCTTAAAAAACAAATCCCAGTTTCGGATTACTAGAAAGTTCTGCACAGTTCCACATCCAGCACCTGAGTCCGCTCCCAGCTGGACTGCACACAGACCAGCTGCTTCCTCTGCAGAATAACGCACCTGTTGTGTAGCTGTCCCGCAGAGACGAGGACTTAATTACTACTTGGTTGTCTCTGTCAGAACTGCCAAAATGGCACCGATTCAATGTTTCTGCCATATTTTTGAATAAAGTCAATACAGACACTGTCACCAAAAAAACCCATCTGGATTTACGTAATATCCTTATTCATGTCTATTTTTGTTTCTAGATGGAATTAACATGAAGAGATATTCTTAGCTCACATGTTATCCAAGCTGTCTATGAGCATAAAGTTAGCAACATCTTAAAGTTCCTTAATATTGCAAATTCTTAGCAAAATTTAGCAAAATAAATGTCTTCTGGGGGAGAAGAACAGAACGCAGCAGTGGGAAGGCCTCCTCCCACTGTGGGCCAGACCCCTAGGGCAAGAGCTCCGCCCAGAGCCCCGGTGACCCGACAGAGCTCATCCCGAGGCTGTGCACGCTCCGCTCCGCTGAGGGGAGCACAGTGACGCCAACAGAAGGTTCACAGAGCGTCCAAGCCTGGATCTGCCCCTCCAGCAGCAGGCTGTTTTGCGGTGAAGCTGTCAAGTCCCGCTGACGTGAAGGACACTTCCGCTGCCAGCCTCCTTCACGTCTCAGTCTCCTACAGCCACTCCCGTCCTGGGGAGAACGTGCAGGTTCCGGGCGGAGGAAGCGTGTGTGCTGAGCGCGCACGGGCCATGGGTTCAATTCCCAGCACTACAAAAACACAAGACTGAAGAACTTCCCTGTCCTTGGGTGCTCTAGGCCAAGGCTGACCAAGCATTCACCGGAAGAGCTCTACACTCTCACCTCTGGTTTTCAAACCTACCCCTTTCTTTCTATCCCATCACCTTAACTCATTTCAATCCTTCCATGGTTACCAAGTTACTACACCTGCAGCTCACACGTGCTGCCTAGGCACTCACCCTCCCACGAAAGTGCCTGATGTGCACCCAGGGCCCAGCTGAGAGCTCGAATTTCCTAGATGCTGACCTCTTTTTGACTTTCAAGTATTTTCTGTAGCTTTTGATCATTTTTCCAGGGATATGATTTAATTTTTAAAGCTAATGACGATATACAATGAAATATACATCTGTCAATGTGGCACGGTGGGAATGGGACATCACAGAGGGTGGCAGAAGTTGAAAGTGATAATTTGAAAGTAATAAATGTAAAAATATTCAGACGAATCAAGCAAAGGTCCTGGTAGCTTCACTTGGGCATTCACACAATGAACTTCCAAAGTTGGGTTGATCATCATTTCTACAGCACATTCTTGAAGGACGTAAAACTGAACGAGAAGCAAAAGGGACAGTGAAGCCACCCAGAGATCTGGAGGAGCAAGACACTGCCGGCCTCAGGCTCAGAGCACACATGGAGTCCACAGGCCCCCGAGGCCGGGTCACGGCAGCCCTCTTCCACAGCTCGCCCCACGGAACGGGACGGGATCAGTGAGGGCAGGGAGCCAGGCGTGGACGGAGGGAGGGAGCCATCTCCTGGCTACGGGGACATCGTGGCCTGAGAGGTCAGCCTCCTGTCACCCGGAGCCAAGCAGGGAATGCACCGGAAGGTGAGATGGTGTGGACCAGAGCGGGCCACTCGCAAGCCATGAACCTGGCCACCAGGTGAGGCCTCCCGGGGGAGCTGGGCCAGGAGCTACCGCGGGGCACAAGCACCAGGCCTGAGGCCCTGGCAGCTCACCCAGCCCCAGGTGGGAACTCGTGCCTCCTCCCAGCTGAGCCCTGATGTCTCAGAGACCGCGGGTAGGCTGGGACCGGGCTTGGGGAGAACACAGTTCCAGAGAACAAAGCAAGGGCAGGACTCTGAGGAGAGACCTGGGGACCGCTGGGGCTACTTCACAGGGGCCCTGGTGTGCTGGGGCCCCAGGGGCCACAACCTCCTCTATGCTGCCTTTTAAGGGAGCAATATGGAATTGTGTGTGCAATTAAAAAATAAGGGCTGTGCTCTTATGTTCCTCAAACTCAGGAGGTAAGACAGAGTTCAGAGGGGACAGAGGGAGGTGGGAAGCAGGCTGTGGCAGCAGGGCGCGGTTCCTACGAAAGGGTGGCCCACCCCGCTAGGAGGGCCAGCTCTCCCCCTACCTCAGAGAGCAAGCTGTACACTGAAACCAACTCACTTGGAACTGACAGCAACCTGGTTACTGCTTCTCAAAAAAACAAACAAGGTCCGTGGATGTAGCTCAGTGGGGCCGCAGCCTACCTCACAAGCCAAGGACTAGAGTTCAATCCCTGGTACCAAAACAAAACAAACACACACAAAAAAAAAACCCTGCTATTTTCAGAGTGTCATGGCTTCTCTGGAATAGGTTCAACACTTTATTTCCCAGAAATAAGAAACAACACAATTTTGTCAGGAAAGTGTGATAACCCACTGTTAATGCACACTGGCCATCGCCGTCGAGCGAACACGCCAGAGTGGAGGACACGCGACAGTGTCCTGCCCGGAGCGCAGACCTCCCAGGGAAGGAGCGGACAGGTCAGCCAGCCAGCTTCTGAGCCAGGCACCCAGCTACCCCACAAAGCCCCCAACTACCTTTGGAGGCTGCAGAGAGCTGAAAATTGGGAAGGAAACGCACGCGTGCCCCGCTCCTCTAGACACTTGTTGACTGCGGCACCCTGGAAACCCACAAAGCAGAGGACTGCTCGGTGGCTGGGAGCTCCCCCTACTCCCTGATATTCACGGGTGACTGCGTGATAGTTATGCAGCTGCCAGACGCAGCCTCGATTCTCTTCCTCCTCCGCAGAGAACAGCAAAAAGGCCCGAGCGAAAGGCCTGGTGGCTCTGTGCCTGGGACTCATTAGTCCAAACCCAACCCCGCAAGGGACTTGGCACCTGATGCTCTCGTCACCGGGCTTCTGGACCAGAAGGCGCTGGAGAGACCAGCCATGGTGGGAGGCGGGTAATTTTACT